CCGCGGCCGCGGGCAGCGCCACCGGCGGCAGCGCGGGCTCTCGCGGCCGCTCCGACCACGCTAGCGCAGAGCAGCGCCTGAGGGCCGCGCTGGTCCCCGGCAGCGGCGTCATGGCCAAGGTGCGCGGGGCCACGCAACCGGACGCGCCCCCCATCCCCTGACGCGCGATTGCCTGGCCTGCCCTGGCCGCCCGTGCGATGACCGCGATTGAGGGTGTTGCTGCTTCCCCCCGCTGCTGGCTCTCAGCCGCCTCCTGCGCCCCTGCGACGCCCCCCTCCTCTCGCGTGTCCCCAGGTGGCCGACTTTGGCCTGAGCCACACCCTGAGCCCCACAGACACCCACATCAGCGACATGCACGCCGGCACGCTCACGCACATGAGCCCAGAGCTGCTGGGTGAGCAGGCACTACCCTTCCTCCACCGGGCACCCGCCAACGCCCCTCTGGCACCTGGCCCGCTGGCGCGTGGTTTACGCGGCGCAATGCACGCAGTGCTTTCAGGGGTGCTGCGGGCTGTCGCGTCTACGCTGCCGCCCGTGTCTCGCCGCTTCTGACGCTCCTTGCCTGCACCCGCGCACCCGGCCCGCCCCTCACGCGCCGCCCTGCAGTGCGGGGGCGCGTCTCAAAGGCTTCCGACGTCTACGCATACGGTGGGTGCCCGGAGCCGCGCGCGCGAAATAGCCAGGGATGGGGACGGAAGGGGGGGGGGCAGTCTGGGAGGCAAGCACCTGCACGTGCTGCCTCCGGCGTGCCGGCCTGTTGGGGGCCGGCGTGGCGCCTGCAGCTGCGGCCGGGACCCGTAGACGTCCCCTGCCCCGCCAGCCGTCCCAACACGACGAGTGTGCACCCACGCTCTTCTGACGTGGCGTTCACCCCACCCCACCTGAACCCCACCCCTCATCCGCCCCGCCTCACGCCACCCACCCGCGCCCCGCCCTGCCCCGCTCTGTGACCCCAGGCATCTTGCTGTGGGAGTTGGCCACCGGCGGCAAGGCGTTTGCGGGCATGCCGCGCGCCCTCATCGGCCACGAGGTGGGTGCAGCGGCAGAGGGGGGAGCAGAGCCCTGTTTGGCTGTGGGGCTCCCAGCAGCCGCCAGGCCTAGCCGATGTACCGGTACTGGCAGGCCGCCTGGCGGGCATGCTGCCGTTACAGCCCCGGCACGGGGTGGTTGGGGCCAAAGGCGGCCCTCAGTGTCGCACGGCGGCTCACACCATCCCACTTCAATCATGCACCCATCCGCTCACGGCCGCCCCCCCCCCCCTTCCACACCGCCAGGTCACCGCGAAGCGCAGGCGCCCCGCGTGGCCGGCCTCCCTGCGCCCCCCCTCGTCGCCCTTTGGCGTCGTGTCGGGTGAGAATGCCGGGGCTGAGGGGCGCGTGAGGCGCGGCCTGGTGGACCTGGCAGAGCGCTGCTGGGCCCACGACCCACGACACAGGTGTGTGTGTG